TTCATATCAATAATTCATTTGTTTCAAACCTTCAAGTCTACATAAAAATGAAATATAAATTAGAAGTCATAAAGATAAAATATTTTAAAATATTGATAATATTTACCAACTATTTAATGTAATCATCAGTTGTTTGACTTTCCATACTAACTAATAAGAAATTATACAAGAAAAAATTGAAAAAAGCACAATTAACAAACATAAATAAACTCTAAATTGTTCAACTAATAAGATTTAATAAGAAAAAAATTATTAATTTGTTTAGAAAAAATAAAAGAAATTGATTTATCCAGTACAAAAAAAATTTCGGTTCTTATTCGGTTATTCGATTCTTGGTCTAGAACCGAGAACCGAACCAAACCATTCGATTCTCGATTCGGATACCTGTTCGGGTATTTCATTTAAGAAAAACCGCTCGGTTCGGTTCGAACATTTTACCCAACCCTAGGGGGCACAATCGAACTTGCAAAAAAGTTAAGAGAAATTTTACAATCGAAAATTTACATAAAAAAAAAATCATACTCCTATAATTTGCATCCGAAAATTTACATGGAATATGACTTTTTAGGATGTAAAATTTCGAAAATTTTTAATGTCATATCCCATATAAATTTCCTAATAAAATAATGCAAACTACATTGAGAAATTTGTATCGCAAAAATAATAAATGTTACTGAAATAATTAATTTTTTTTAAAAAATGCAAGTTAGACGCCTCTTTTAAAACGCACGTTTGACGCATCTTTAACTATTTTCGATATCTGTTTGAACTATTTTCGATATCTATTTGAGATGATATAAGAGATTTGTATATTCGATTACCGTACGATCGTCGGAGAATTTTTAAACTTAGCATGTTATCGAAATTCTCGAAATACTAATTTTAAACCACATACTTTGACAAGTCGTAACATTTGCCACGAATGGTCGTTTCGCACGCCGTTAACGACATAAAAAACTAGATTATGAGTACTTTGAAATGATATTAAGAATGTATTATTTCAATTTCGTTTCACATATTATAATAATTTTGAAAATTGAAACAAGACATAGAAAATTTTTAAAAAAAAAAAGCAAAGCAAAGTTGGGGGGCACGTGCCCCCCTAGCCCTCTCTGGGTCCGCCAGTGACAGTCTCTCCAAGAAACAAAAAAATACCAACTTAAAAATAAAGATCACTTAGATACCATTATTACAAAATCAAATAAAGTCTTCGCAGCGACACACGAATAAAACAAACTATTAATAAAGAAAACAAGAAGAGAAAGAAATGTTCATAGCTTTGCATGTATGGTGTATGGAGACCATCATGAGTGAGGCTGACGATCATATTTCGTATTCTCCCTTAGTCGTAGTGGGGACAAGTCTGAATCTTTACTTTTTGTTTCAATTGGTGGGACTAGATTTGAATCAAGCTTGCTTGTCCCAACTGAATTATGTGTCGGACCAAATGATCCTTCCAAGGTTGTGTCACTAGTGGTTGTCGTTCTGCATTTGTGGCAACATATTTGCATCATAACTTTCTCTCTTCGAAGTTTCCTCTGGCACTCTCATATCACCTAAGTCCTGCGACACTTTTTCATCCCCCTTATTTCCTAGTGATTCTCTTCTTGACTTACTTCGAGATTCAATAACAAGATGATAAAGAGGTACTGGAATGAAATATGTAAGGATATGAAGTTGTGAGAATAATTTTGGCAAATAACACAGATTTTGTAAGAGATCAAACGGCCAAGAGTGTCACCTAATTACTATCAACACAATTTAATTAGCAACCTGATGAACTAAGCGTGACACTTTTGTTGATATTAAGTCACATTTTGATTTCTATATGGTCACACGTTTTTTGATTATAGTCTAACACTTGTTGTTGCAATTTGTTGAACTAGTTTGGTCCTACTACAAGTTGATGTAATTGACTAGTATGGTATTGTGGTAGTAGGTAGAATAGAGAATAGAATATTATTTTGTTTTGCATCATGTATGGCTATATGTAAGGGAAGTCGTGTACTATCATTGTGTTGAATCAATTGATTAAGTTTCCCTCCTCTTCGTCTTCCAAGTTCTAACAGTTTTCTCTTCAACTTTTGCATATTTTGGGAATGAAGATAGGGTGAATCCAATCAACTTTTGCAGACTTTTGGGAGTTGTGGTGGTGATAGTTGTGGGTTTGTGTTGCCAACATGTTGCTTCCTACTGTTTATAAAAAATCTCGGGTTGCTGTGTAGGACACATTGTGTCTGGGCTTCTCTCATTCCCTGTGGGAAGGAGAATACCCATATCATGAATTTAATTGTAAATAAGATAACTATCCCGTGGTTTGCCCACGGCCTTCGGTGATTTTCAGCCTAGTTTTAGCATCATAGGCTAAAAGAGTAAAATCGAATAGCCCTTTAAGGGTGTGTTTGGTAGGGATTTTTAGGGGAATAATTGATTTTTGAATAGTAAGATAATTGGAAATGTGTGGTTGAAAAAGAAGAAAAAAGTATTGATGTGATGAAAAATATTATTTTATTGAAGTACGTGTGGTTGAAAATGAAAATTAATTTACTGTAGAAAATGAGAATCTGTACCAAACAGGTTCTTAAGTAGATTTCAATAAAAAAATAAAAACATATATGATATATCAAATGACAAAATAAGAAAATGCTGGTGCATGTTTGGCTAAGTTTAATTTATAATTTAAGTTGGTGAAATATATTTTTTATTAACAAATATCGATAGGGATTAACATTATAAGCGAAATAGAACAATTAATGAAGTTATTGAAAAAAATTGAGTATCCTAATTTTTAATGGAAAAGCATGCGAAGTTTGATAAAACTATTTAAAGTTTATGTAAAAATAAGTTGAACAATACCTTAGTAATTGTTTTCTTACTTTTTTTTTTTTTTCCTAAATTGTTATGATAGAAACTTATCTGTACCGGAATAGTTCTGATTATGGTTCGATTCTAGTAATTACATGAAATTGAATTCCATTAACAAAATATTAAAATATAATTGATGCTTCCAATTCTTGAAATATCCGAATTAAACCATTACATGCTCACTCCTAAGTTTCATAGAATTCATAACTACTATTCACTTATATTTCACACTTCTTACAAAATCCACAACTTATAATCTAATTTTTTTTTTTTTTTATCAAAAATACTCATAATATTCTTCTTACCGAACATTATTTTTAATTTTACTTATTTTTGTCTAGCGTGAATGTAATTTTCGTATCTAATATTTATCAAATTCAATATACGAAGGGTGCATGTCTACAGTGACAAATAGCACGTATAAAAACTCAAGTGATATTTGATAGTAATTTTTTGAAAATCACTTTTCTTCAGTCATTTTTAACCACAATTTCCAAAATAAATTATTTTTCACGTTTTTTCTATAACATTTCCCTACAGATTAACCATACATATAAACCATCCGAATAATGTATTGTAGTGGAGAAATGAATTTAGACCGGATATGATATTAAAGTGCATTGTTAGATTTGTAACAAGACTACAATCATCTGAATCCACCGTAATATTTTTTTAATATTATCGATTGTAAAATTCTTAATAGTGTGATATCCAATTTGCTAAATGCACATGGAGAACATGCTTAATTTAACTTGAAAATTTTGAATTTTTGTGATATCCAAGCTGGTGAGTCTCGACCACTCTCAAACCCCTCTCCTTTGCGACCCACTATCACCAGATAGGAGAGAAGACAGATATTTGTTTTTGCGTGTGGGCAGCCACCGATCTGAAGGGAATGGAGGAGAGGAGAATGAGAAAACCATTGCTTTGTTGTTTGGATGCGTATATGAAGTCGAGAATTAGCGAGGTGGAGCCAAGAAAAGACAACTTTTTTTTTTGTTTTTTCACTGGGGTGATGCATAGAAGGAAAAAAAAATGTCATTACACACGTTAGACATCATTAATTAGATGTCTGTTCAACCCAACGGCACAACAATTCTTTGGCTAATCTTCCACGAGGAAAAATTGTACAAAGTACAAAGAACTAGAAATGAGAGGAAACTTGCATATCTGGACTTCTTGTTAATAAAACAAGTTGGCGGAGATTCTTGTTGAGCAAAAAACGAGTGGAAGGAAATGAGAAAAAAATCCTCAACGCCCTTGTGGCATAGATACCGTCAACTCATTGTTGGAGAACGAAGCCGGTTGATTATAGGATGAGCGTTTTCTCATTACAAAAGCTGGTTGCTTAGGAACTGGAAGAACTGCAATTTCTCCACTAAGCATGAAAACTACATTCGACATGGTGGGGCGATTACTGGGGTCTTCTTCTACACACAACAGCCCAACATTTATGCACTTTATAACTTCAGATTTCTCACAAGATTCAAGCAGTAATGGGTCCACTATATCCAATGCCTTGTTTTCACTCCACAATCTCCAGACCTGTGCGAATAGTTCAAAAATATTTTAGACTGAATTGGCTAACATGTTGCATATAAATGGAGGAATTTAGCTACTTACATAACCCAAGAGATTCAAGTCTTCTGTAGATTGGTAAAATCCCGTGTTTTTCTTTCCAGTGACTATCTCGAGCACAACAACTCCAAAACTAAATACATCTGATTTTATTGAGAATATTCCATCTGATGCATACTCCGGAGACATATAACCACTGAATCAAGATAACTACAAGTTAGTATGTACATAGATATACGACACAATATGATCTTGTGTATGTTAGGTGTCTATATACATATGCATAACGTAATAGAAATTTGTCATTGTATATTATTGCACTTGGCAATTGGCACCCAGGAGCCAGGAAATGAATGACCAAAATCTGGAGATCATAAGGACAAGATCTTTTAATTGCCACTTACTAGGTTCCTATGACTTTTTTGGTGCTTGCTTCTGTTCCTTTGCCCTCAACTATTCTTGCCAAACCGAAGTCCGAAATTTTGGGGTTCATTTCTCCGTCTAACAGAATGTTGCTTGTTTTCAAATCTCTATGAATGATCCTCAACCTTGAATCTTGATGAAGATAAAGAACCCCTCTTGCTATCCCCAAGATGATGTCAACCCGCTTCTTCCCATCCAACAACATGCATAGTTTTTTATCTAGTATTTGTGAAAAAATTATTATTGATTAAAATGAAAATCGCAATATAAAACATATCATTTTCCCATTAACTAACCAAATATAAAGGCATCCAAACTTTTGTTGGGCATGTATTCATAGAGTAAGATCTTTTCATTCTCCTTCATGCAGTAGCCCAAAAGGCGAACAAGGTTTCGGTGTTGAAGCTTTGCGATCAATACAATTTCATTCTGAAATTCGTTATTGCCTTGCAAAGAACAGCTTGACAACCTTTTCAATGCAATTTCTTGCCCTTCAGGAAACATTCCCTGTAAGAGTTGTGAACTAGAATCAATACATAAGGAAGCACAAACTTTGTTATAGCAAACGATTATGGATAAAACGATAGTTAAACCTTGTAAACAGGACCAAATCCCCCGCGTCCAAGTTTATGTGCATCTGAGAAGTTCTTGGTAGCAGCTATTATACTTTCCCAACTGCAGATAGGAACACCGATACCACTGTTGTCATCTCCTCCCAACTTACCCGAAAAATTTTTGGTTGCAATTTGCAAGTCATCCTTGTACCCAAATGCTGCCAGTGATCCCTCGGCTTCTTTTGTAGTTCTAGATATACGCTTGCGACGTATGCATATCATGACAATGGTCAATAGAACCATAACTGCAGCAACAGAACCCACAACAGCGCCTATGACAACCCCTTTACCTTTTTTGGTGCTCGAAAACTGAGATGCAGAGGCAGAAAGTCTAATGTAGATCATTTTTTCATTGCCATCATTTTCTGTGGGTTGTTTTAAATCCATTAATTCCCCATTCCAAACCAAGCATGCATTGCCATTGTAAGAATAAGCTGTACAAGAGCAATTACTCAAGCAGATAGATTCACATTCTCCAGCACTCCCTGCCATTAGTGATTGTGATTTTGCGGGTAATCTAACAAGGTTATTCGGCAAAAACTTGTCTTTTCTGTCATTTGTACAATTCAAAATGATCTCTCTCTCACAGCCACCCGAATAATCCTTCAAATTCCAATCATTCTCCGACCTTTGCTTAAATCCGGGCAAACAATAACAGAAGTGCAATGAATTCTGATTGCAGGTACCAAATGCCCCACAATAAGCATACACATCACATTGCTGACTAGGTTGAAACCAAATCAAATTCCACTCCTTCGTATTCCACGATGTCTGCCTAATTTGCCCGGAAACATCCATCACGTATCGAGATTTAATGGAAGGATTATAAAGAGAGTATGTGTAGTAACTCTCATTAACGCTGTCAAAATAAGTATGATTATACATATTGTTCAGCCTCATCTCAGGGATTAAACTGAAAAAAAGCCCATTCCAAGCTCCACTAGTCCAGTACCATTCAGTCCTATTCCATCTTATAATAACCTGACTCCCGTTTGGATCTAATTCAAAAGAGAAAAGCCCAGGTGCAGGATCCTCAGAGTTTTTCCAAGAAATAAGGACTTTCTTTGTTTTTGTACGTTTATCATAGGCAAGGCTGCTACCTGGTAACAACGTATCTGTTGGATTGTCAAAACTTTGCCAAAATCCTTCACTTGTCCTAGGTTCTGACTCGTATCTCAAAACTAAATTTCCATTGTCACCTAGAGTTGCCACTACAGAATTTGAGGTTGTCAAGTTTACATTTGTGGACCAAATTGAAACCTGGGACTCATCCATAAGCACTAAATTCCCATCTAAAATCTTAAATTCTACAGAATTCGTGTCTGAAATGGGTGTCTCCCTATTTGCTACCCAAACTATGGTCATTGGAGTAACATTTTTGTACCAAATTCCAATATAATAACTAGAAGAAGTACCTGGTGCAAAGAATCCTAGTTCAAAGATGTTACCAGAAGAGACAATTGTCTGGCTTCCAGAGAGAGGCTCGTTTGCCGTAATGCTGTCAGTTCCTTGAGAAAGATTGATGTTTATAGAGAAACATAGGAAAAACAACAGATAGAGAATAAACCAACAAGTGTTCATCGGGATCATAGCTGCAGAAGATGTGTGCATCACAAGAGAGAGAGAGAGAGAGAGTGTGTATTTTTTGTCAAGCGCATGATATTTACGGAAGAAAAACCATTCACTTATACTTTTCCTGTTCGGCTAGTCAAATGATGTTGGCCTGATTTTTACTCCATGAAGGTTCCTGTGGGTTAGAAAGATTTAATGCGAGTTGGACTTATGGATACATAGGTAGGCCAACGGATCGTGATTTAGTCGACTTGCTTTGAGAATGTCTAATTATGTTGTAAATCAATACATTTTGGGCAAAATAGTATTTTCATTAATAAATATCGCTACAAGAAAGGTCGGTTCAATCAACCCATTCAGTATGAAATGGGGCCAAAAGGCCCAAAACGACAAAGGAAGCTAGATAGTGGGCTATAGCGTTCATCTCGCGAGGAATATAGTAATATGTATCATCTCAAGCTTCGTCCAAAAGAGCAACAATATCATCTAATACCAAGCCCGTAGGTACCCATAAAGCATCAGCATCAGCTATACATCCTGCACTAACTAGCGTCGCACTCAACTATCGCCACCATTAAACCATGTTTTAGGGCAAACATCGGTCCAGCTTGGAGTGCTATTGCTATTCAAAATTAAAAAAAAAAAAAAAATTGAGTTTTTTACCCATGCTTACGCATAGGCTATTTTACCAATGCTTCTACCATGCGTACACATGGATTATATTATGTGTACGCATAGTGTTAAAAACTAACCATTGATTGGCTTTTCAACTTAAAACGCGGTGTCCTTTTAGATTAAAAAAAAAAAAATTTAATCATTTTTGGCTCCATTTTGTGTAGTATTAATTGAGATCTATAAAAAGATGATTAATGATCAATACAAAACACATTAAAAACTATTTGAGATCAAATTCTATTCCACAAGAAAAATCAAAACCTCTTTTCTTTCATATTCAAAATTATGTTTTGAAGAAATTTCACTAGTGTTTAAGTGTTTATCCTTTTCAAAGATTGATAAATCCTATAAACCATTTGCCAAGAGTTTCATTAAGCATCAAATTCAATCCGAAGGGGGGGCAAATACCATTTGAGAATAACGATTGCTTGTTTAAACCTTCATCTTTTATTCCGATTTTCTTGTTATTTGTTCTTTGTTTTTTCTTCATCCCCTTTGTGTGAAAACATTATTCCAACAATCTCAAACGATATCCTACAATGGAGAATGAAACTACCACGGCTACGATCAAGTTGATGAGTCGAGACCTCGTTCATTTGGACCATTTTGATGGGACGAATTTTACAAGGTGGCAAGACAAGTTAAAGTTTCTCGTAACGGCATTGAAGATCTTCTACATTCTTGATCCAGATTTAGCATCATTTGTGGATCCAACAGATGACGATATCGAAGCTATAAAAATGGAGATACAAAAGCGTCAAGAGGATAAACCCATATGACGCAATCATAATCTCAATACATTATCCGATCGATTGTATGATCTCTACGCCAACACATCTTCGACAAAAAACATTTGGGATGCATAAATATAGAGTCAAAGAATAAGGTACAAAGAAGTCATAAAATCAAGGTATTTCGACTTCAAATTCTTTGATAACATTCCCCTTCTTCCCCAAGTGCATGAATTGCAAGTTCTTATCATTGAAGGCGGTCAAAATTAAAATTTCGAAAACTTTTCAAGTGGGAGCAATCATTACAAAACTCCCAGGAATTTGGAAAGAATAGATTACTTTTTGGAACAAGTGTAGAAACATCTTCGAATTGAAGAAGAATCTTGGGCAAGAGATACGAATGACAATTCTTATGAACGCGCTTCAAAAACCAATGTCATGGAGAAAACTGAACCTTCAAATAAATCCAACAAAAGAAAGCTTTCTAAAAACTTTAACAAGTTTTAGAAGAAGTCCAATGGTGGTTGTTTTGTATACGCGAAATCAAGATATTATACAAATGAATGTCGACACCGAAAGCAAAACAATTCCGAAAGAAAAGTGAACTCCATCAAAGAAGACAATACTATGGCTACTGTAAGCGAGATCAATGCAATCTAGAAAAAAGTTATTGGTTGATGGTATGATACATGTGCAACTGTACATGTATCATATAATAAGTCTTTATTCAATACCTATTATTAAGTGGACGGAGATCAAGAGATTCAAATAGGTAACGAATGTCGTTCGAAAGTGGTTGGAAAAGGAAACGTAGATATTATCTTCACTTCCGGGAAAATCGTTACTTTAACAAATTTACTACATGTTCCTAAAATGCATAGTAACTTAGCCCATGTTTGACACACATTAAAATTTTCATTCTCATTCTTCTACTCATTTTCAACCACACATTCTTCAATAAAATAATATTTTCCATCACATCAATAACTTTTCCTTCTTTTTCAACCACACATTCTCCATCATCTACTATTCCAAAATNACTATTCCAAAATAATATACATCAAACACACCCTTAATTAATGGTAATCTCTTAAGAAAATCAGGTATAAAAAATGTTTATGAGTCCGATAAACTTGTAATATCCCTAAATGAAAAAATTGTTGGAAAATGTTATTCTAGTAAAGGAATTGTTAAGGTTTGTACTGTTGACAAGTTGATTAATAATAAAGTTGAGTTTGTTTATTTGATTGATTTACTTTATGGGATGCTAGATTAGGTCATATAGGTAAGAGTACCATGAAAACAATGTTAAAATGTGATTTAATATCACATAATAAAAATGATGCTTTTTAAATGTATAACATGTGTAGAATCTAAAATGACTAAGAAGCATTATCAAAGTGTAAATATGACTTCTAATATTTTAGAATTAATTCATACGGATATGTGTGAATTAAATGGTATGTTAACTAGAGGTAGAAATATGTATTTTTTTATCTTTATAAATGATCACTCTAGATATAAATATGTTTATTTAATGAAACATAAATATGAAACTTTTGTTATGTTTAAAATATATAAAAATGAAGTTGAAAATCACTTAAATAAGAAAATAAAAACTCTAAGAAGTGATAGAGGATGTGAATAATTTTTTAGTAATTTTAATTCATTTTGTGAATAATAAGGTATAATAAATCAATGTTCTCCACCTAGGATACCTGAACAGAAATGATTTGGCTGAAAGAAAAAATAGAACTTTAGTTGAAATGATAAATGTCATGTTAACTTATTTTAAGTTGCCATTTAATTTATGGGGTGAAGCATTGTTGAGTGCATGTAGAATATTAAATAGGATTTCTTCTAAATTTACAAAGGTTTCTCTTTATGAATTGTGGAAATGAAGAAAACCTAACATGGAATACTTCAAAATGTGGAGATATCTTGCATATTGTAAGAACACAAACCCTAATAGGATCAAGTTGGGTCCAAAATGCATCAAATGTGCATTTGTTGGTTATGCTAATAATAGCAAATCATATGGGTTATCAAATTTTGAGACAAATGTGATAATTGAATCTAATGATGTTGAGTTATTTAAAAATTCATTATTTTCGGATAATGAATTAAGGGAAACTCATAAAGAGATCTCAAACTCTAGTAGAAACAAGATGAAACATCTTATAAGGATGTTAATGAATCTAGTTAACATCGAAAAAGTAAAAGAACTTAAATTGAGAAGTCTTTAGGATCGGATGAAATTGATTCTCAACTAATTTCACTTTACCTAGTAGAGGGAAATTAGAAGAATGTTGTAAGAATAATTTATTTTATTCTACAAGTGAAAATCAATCATAAAACTTATAGAGAAGTTATGGCTTCTCGTGATAGCATCTTTTGGAAAGATGCAATTAAAGATGAAATTGATTCAATTATGTCGAATAATACGTGGGAACTTGTCGACTTACCACCCGGATCCAAACCTATTGGATATAAATGGGTGTTTAGGAGAAAATATAATGATAATTCTCTTAATACCTTTGAAGTTAGATTAGTAGCTAAAGGTTACTGACAAAAGAAGGGAATATATTATTTTGGTACGTATGCATCGGTAGCTAGAATAACAGCAATTAGAATATTATTCACATTAACTTCTATACATGGCTTTTATGTTCATCAAATAGGTGTCAAGATTGTATTTTTAAATGGAAATCTCGATGATGAAGTTTATATGCAACAACTTGAAAGGTTTGCTCTACCCGAAAATGAACATAAGATGTGCAAGTTAGTGAAATATTATACGGTTTAAAGCAAGCACCTAAGAAATTGCATGAAAATTTGACATAACTATTAATTCATTTGGTTTCAAACATAATAGTGTAGATAAATGCTTGTATTATAAATTATGTGATAATTGTGTCATATTTATGTGCACAAGATTACATATACTTCGACAAACATTTCACATAAATTTGGCCAAATTCGAGCTTAATTTCCTGTATAGAAAAAAAGTCTAAAGAGCAACCAATTGTGTCTTCGCTCAATCCGGGCATAGATGCTATGACATGAAATCCAAACGAGTGTCCTATGTGTTCTATTCCAATCAACTATAAATAATTGAAGGAAAAACAAAATAGGACGTTGCTAATCTGCTTCATTTAGAATCCTGATTACAGCAAAGGACAAAAACGTCAAGAAACCAAATCAAAAAGAAGTCACAACTAAAAGCAAATATTACACTCTCAGAAACTTAAAAGCACAAAGATTTATTAAATCCTCAAATGTGTTCTCAAAGAGCTCCCAGAGATCCCTCACTGCGGCTTCTACCAATAGAGAAACTAGTTTTAGAGCTCAGAAGCTTGCTGAAATCATTCAATACACGTCGTTGAGTTGTTGTCTTTGTTCCAATTGGCGGAAGATGTCCATGCCTGCTTCTGGATTGTTTTGGCAAGGCAACTGCTTGACTTTTACGACCATGAACTGATGAAGTCGATGCCTTGTGAGAAGCAACGCCATGGGTTCCCTTCCGGGTAGCCTTCAATTCAGCTCGGAGCCCGCGGTCAATTTGATGTGCACTGATGCCCAGTCGAGCAGAACGATCGACTGTGTCTTTCAGTGTGCCAACTTTCATAGATTGCCTGTTGTAGTAAGTGAGATGCGGAAGAAGACTTTGTAAGCATTTCTTTAACTGTTCGTCACCTACATTCTTCTGGGCCGGATTTCCTTCCAGGCTTATAGCTTGTAAAGAATTGTAATTAGCCGCAAGTTGACCAAGACATTTGGTTGTAGAAATTTTGTTGTAACGCAAGTCCAATACATTCAATTTCAGGAGGCGGTGAAGACCTTCAACCTCACTGATCTTGTTACCAGCTAAGTACAATTCCTTCAGGGAGGAACAAGCAGCGAGGCCTTTCCAAGCAAGAAACAAGTATATTAGTAATCTATCAAAATTATAGAAATGAAAGTAATTTCCCACAGGAGCACTTTCTTCTAAACCAAATGATGCAGTAGGGACATTGGGCAGACATCAGAAACTTGACTAGCTCAGTCGAGCCCACAATATCCAAAGAAATACATAATTTTCTCCTCTATTCACCACTTTCACAAAGACAAAAGCGCAAGCCAAATTTTTTATTGTAAATTGAAATACTTAATTTGAAAGAAATATAATAAAAATGTTGACAGAGTCAAAGGTTTGCAAAACAAAAGCATCCAATAAACATAAGACTGGTGTGAATCCATGCTTTTTAATGTTGCTACCGATAGTCAGAATACTGGGTCTAAAGTATCAATGATAATGCAGTACCTCATTCTATAGCCAACACACACACAGAGAGATTTTTATTCCAATATAACATGGACACATGGAGACCGAAATACTGCAATCTCATCAAATGTTTCATATACAGTGAAACAGGTATAGAAATACACTCAATACTCTAATTGAGCATCTCAAGCGGGCTGCTTTGGACTTATTTCAATGTGGAAATTACATTTAATCTGACTTTCAATATAAATCAGTCACATCAAGTATACAGCTTTTCCTAATCTTGATAAGATTTAGACAATACACATATTTTAATCCTTCAAAATGTTTATCGATGTGCTACTTTTGAAAATTCAGCTATAAATTTCATATTATCTTTTTAATCTACCAACAAATTTTGACAAACAAAATTAAAGAAATATAACATAATTCAGTCATGAGCGCCAAATTTTTAAGCAATGATCAGGATTATTTGCTTTATCACGGAAAAAGAACATATCATGTCCAATCCTTAATATTAATAAATGTGATAATCCATAAATCCCAGCTAGAATTTTCCTATTATCTTTTATTTAAATCTACCAACCAATTTTGACAAACAAGATAGAAGAAAATCTAACCTAATTCTGTCAAGTGCACAAATTTTATGAACAATGATCAAGACATTTTGTATTTTGTCATGGAAAGAGGTCATACCATGTCCAATCCTTAATAATCGATTGTAACTTAGGTCAAGCACACGAAGTCTTGAAAGATCTCGCAGTCCTTCAATGGTGGAAATATTGTTTTTCGAAAGGTTCAAAATGTGAAGTCCCCGAGGGAGCGCACCAGCAGTAATCCTCACTGGGAATTAACGGGGGGGAGAAAAGTAGTTGAGAAAACAAATCATCACCAAAACATTAGCACAACAAGGGAAAGAAACATAATTTTGAGGGAAGAGTAAATGCTACAGATGCAAACCTATGGCATTCCCAGATAAATTAAGTGCTTTGAGGCTAACAAAAGCACTGAGAAACGGTATCACAACCAACCCAAGATTAGTCAGCTGAGCTGTCGTGGCTGTGGCATTCATAGAAGATATGTATCTCTTTGCAGCTTCCATTCCAGGGTTGGCCTTTCCATCCAACTTTGCAGCAGCTGGACCCTCTAAGACAGTGTCGCCATCCTTCTTTAACTCAGGATCATTTGATATAGAAAATTCATTTGTCTCTTCCAAAGGGCTGCAGTACTGAAGATCTATGACCCATTCTTCAATTCGTTTTGTTTTATAATCCTTGTTTGGTAATTCCACCCCCTGGCAAGATGAAGATTCTCCTTTAACAGTTTCCTCCACATTGAACCCATCAACCACGGGTATTATCCAGTCTTTTGCTGAACCTACATAGTTATAACTCTCAGCAGGATTTTCACAAGTGTTCTTGTCATTGTTTGATACACAACCATCTATTTCTTGGTTTTGTGTCACCTGCGGTCCCACTTCATGCATCAGAATGCCTTTCTTCCTTGAATCTAAAAGGTTCAGATCCTCAGCTGATCTAGTGCGAACAAAAAAGGATCTCAAGCATTGATTAGGGGAACTCATGTTCGGCAAAGAATTCGACTTTACAATAGCAGGTAAGGTTCGAGGTGTGTGTGGACCAGACTCATCAGCACAAGATAACTGGATATCATCATTATCAAGGCCTTCTTTTTCTGACAGTTGTGGATCCCCAATTGAAAAAATTGATTCATTTTTTGCCAAGTCTGAATTCATTTGAACAGAATCAGAGGGCATAGGATCTTGATATTGATCGAGCAAATTGGTTCTACAATCCTTGACGCCCTCTTGAACAACAAATCCACTGCGATCAGCAGATCCATCGCAAGAAAATCTTTGCTCAGTCTCATCCTCTGTGTCATCGCCACAAGAGATTCTCCCTTTCCAGTCTAATCCACTTCCTAAAGACCGGCTCTTTTTCATTTGGGAAGTCTTCTGAACTGTAATATCACAATCAGTATTAGATTTGCTCTCTATTTCATTTGAATGGCAGTCGCGCTCAGTAGGAGAGGAATCTGTTGCATGATCAGTAGTATTAATGAGTGGGTCCGTCTCTTCCTTCAAATATGATGTATTTTTCATTGCTGGATATGATGAACTTGTTGATGACTGATTTCGAGAAGTGTCTTCCACTGTCTTCTGTAGTATTAATGAGTGGGTCCGTCTCTTCCTTCAAATATGATGTATTTTTCATTGCTGGATATGATGAACTTGTTGATGACTGATTACGAGAAGTGTCTTCCACTGGCTTCTGCATGGCTTCAGCAGATAGATGAACTGATTTCTGATTAGGATAGACATGGACCAAATTAACAACAGCAATAGAATGACAAAAAGGCAATTAAATTTCAAGGACAGACCATATGGAAAGATGATCCACTGACCTTCTGCTTGTGAGAGTGGACGTGAGCAAGAAAGCATGAAAACCTAACCATCCTTACAAAAACTGATAAGGACTCACATCAGATCTACTAACCGTAATATCAAAGGCTCTTGGAATTGAAATATATATATATATATATTTTTTAAAATAGACTCAGCAACTACAAAAATAAAATCATATGCTGTCGCCACGCTTCCTGAGACTTAACCAAGGCTGACCTTAGCCATAGTCAAGGGATAACCCCTCTGACACACGGCACAATCTCCAAATGTGTGATGATCTTGATCTCCTCAAAACACATAATAAGATCACCCCCCAGTTATCACCCCACACCTGCTTAGAGGTGCGAGAACACTTAGACCTTGCAGAAGCGGCCAGACTGAAAGAAAATCATCAGTCACCTGCTTAGAGGTGCGAGAAAACTTAGAACTTGCAGAAGCGGCCAGACTGAAAGAAAATCTTCTGTGACGATATGAGCCCAAGCCCGATTATGCATAAAAGAGACAGCTGCCTATAGGGAGCAGAAAGCAAGGAAACCAGATCAGTGGATGGGAAAAAGGAATGCTACTATTCCAGCAGAATATTCTCTTCATCCAAATTTAAATTGTGCATTTTTACCATCAAATATGATACTGGAAAAGTATTTCAGCTGTTAATTATATCATCACAAATTCGTTTATTTATTGGTCATTCACAAAACATGGGGTCACTTCAGTTTCGGTGATCATGTACACAACCTTTTAAGGTAAAAAATTCTATTACAGAAGATAACTAAAATGCCCAGTTGCTATTTCTGGGATAGCTGCTATAGGTATGTTAACTATGTTTCTATTCCAATATTTCTTTCTTTAAGCATTCTGGCAACAAATGGCAGATTTTGATAGGCTAACCCAAATAGAAAAGTAAATTGCTATATTCTACAACTAAATCAACATTGGCAAGATCCAAATACAAGCGGCAGATTCTATTCATATCAAATATAGAAATGCAGCCCTAAGTGCCAATAAATAATTTCTGTATAAATCATTCATATATACATCAAGATTCTAATAAGCTCTATAAAAGATTAATAATAAAGCATGAATCTTTAAACAAAGAACTCAACAGACAAAAGTCATACAAGGAATCAATCATTTGAACAGCTTCTGAAAACTCTATTGCATCAACAAATTTAATATGCATATATATATGGTTGAACACTACCAGTTTACGAATGATTTCAGATATTATTAGAGTTCGTTTTCTTCGAGTTAAATTATCAAAGCCGCAAAACTCGTATGTCAACAATCAAATAAGAAATTTGAAAAAAAAAAAAACGCAACTAAAAAGAAACTGCGGCCAGAAATAGAGATCTAACCTCTTCCTAGCCAGATTGTTGGCTTTGGCTACTTCGGACGATGAAAATCAACCCTACAATAAAAAAATTCTCTGTGTTTTTTTACGATATAAGCAAATAGTTGTGTCTGTATGGCTGAGATTTATAGATAAATAAATTGTGCTGATTTCAACGAACATATTCCAGTACTATATTCAAGAATACGGAAAATCGAACCCAGATTAAGCAAACTAAAGCACAATTTCAAATCAAGGAAAAAGGCAAAAACTAATGAATTTATTCTATTCTGCTTTTTCCAGATGAACAGAGGTCCAAAACCAAAAAGAGAGCATTTTCCGTGAGTGAGAGAGAGAGAGAGATTTGCGTCCACGGAAAACAATGTATTTTGAGCGGCCCAGCAGTTTCCAGATTCTATTGTGACCTATTTTTTATGTGGAGCTGTCGTCTTTATAGGATGCTAAAGGAACAGCCTGTTGACATACGATTAGTAAATGACACCAATAAAAAGAATAAAAATTTAAATAATTAGACAATTTTTTTCTTTTTCAAAAAAATTAATTTAAAATTGATAAAAATCGATTTTAGCTTACCACAGAAGTCATTTTTTTAAAAGTTACATATAAATAGAATTACTAGCATGTAAAATTTTATGTTAAAATAATCGAGTTTTAATAGGTCTCATTCTGATTATGAATAAATATCGATTTTAAGTAGTATATTTAGTTTATCTTAAAAATTAGAGAAAAAAATCGAAAAATTGGCCTTCTATCGAAATAACACGGTAAACGTGTGCCGTGCGCTGCTAAAAATATAGAACGAGATTTGTTTGCTACATATTATTAGGCACTGTTTGATGTAAATTAAAATTAAATTTTTAGTAAAAAAATTTGATAAAAAAAATTAAGAAATTATGAATTCACGAAATATATGATTAAAATTTATAAATAATATCATAAAATTTTAATCTAATTTTAATCCACGCAACCTATTTTTAGACTTGCAATTTCTCCCCTTTCTAAAATATTCGCTAACACTGTCACATTGATAACATAACGATACTCTTAATTTTAGGGTAATTAGCACATAATGTCACTTTTGTTGCGAAAAACGGAAAAAGGTCCATATCTTTCTTTTCTTTTTTGACATTTTCACCATTAATTACACATTTAATTGCACAAATCATCATTTCTAACTATTTTCATTCAATTTCTCAATAAAGAGTTATGAAATGATGAATATATCTTCTTATTTAAATAAAAAAAATTAAAGAATTAATTACAAATATAGTTCCAATTTTTTTTTTAAAAAAAAAGGTAAACGAGTCACAATAAATTATTAAAAAGTTGAAAATTATTTTTTTTTAAAAAAGTGCAAACGAACCTCAAATAAATTAGAAATTAAATTCCTTTTTTTTAAGGTGCAAACGAGTCTCAATTAAATTTATTAAAAAAAAATTAAAAAATGCAAACGAATCTCAAATAAATTATTAAAAAAATTAGAAATTAAAAAAAATTCTTCAATTTTCTTTTCTTTTTTTTTAAATAAGATGGTATATTCATCATTTCACGGTTCTTTATTAGGAAATTAGATGAAAATGAATAGAAATGATGATTTGCGCAAGCAATGTTGTAATTAAGGGTAAAAATGTCAAAAAAATAAAAAGGTATGTACGTTTTACGCTATAATAGTGAAAAGTAGGACATTATGTACTAATTACCCTTTTAATAATTTATTTGAGGACTCATTTGTCTTTTTAAAAAAATTGGAACTATGGTTGCAATTGATTTTTTTCTTCTTTTTGTTTTTATTTAAAGAGAGTCGTATATTCTTCATTTCACAATTTTTAATTGAGAAAATGGATGAAAAAAATATTTTGCGCGATGAAATGTGGAAATAAGGGTGAATATGTCAAAAATGATAGGTAATGACGTTTTTCACAATAACAGTAAAAAGTGGGGACATTATGTGCTATTTTCCCTAATTTTAAGTATTTTTTTATTTACTTAAATAACTTTAAGCAAAATTATATAAATAGGTTTTTATTATATTTTTGTTACATAAATAATTTGTTGTTACATCACAAACATAAAATGATCTGTTAAAAACTCATATTTGATCAAACAAAAATCTCTCTTGCTTCCTAATATGGTATTTAATAGCTTGTATTGGTAAATTCTTTTCACTTTGATTGGGTGTCTTTGNTTTAATATCTTCTCTCAAGAATTCGAACTTCAGATACAATTTTTTGCCCAGAAAAACTTGCAAGTTCATAGGGTAGCTTGGATATATTTTCACAACTAAAGGGATGATTCATTACCTCCTTTTTTCCAAAAGAAGCTATAAACCCTCTCTAATTCTCAAAACCAAAGAATAAAACCTTAGGAATCAAATAACTTAATAATATAAATCTCTCTTGCTTCATAATATGGTATTTAATAGCTTGTATTGGTAAATTATTTTATCTTTGATTGGGTGTCTTTGATTTCATTGTGAATTCACAATATATCCTCGAAAAAATACCATTAAGACATAAAAACTATGAAATTTGGAAATCCTAATGATAGTGATGTTCATATTGAGTAAGCAGAAGAATGAGAATTTCAAATGCCTCAAGAATTTTCATAGCACACATTCATCAGTAAAAGAAAGTTTCCCTACATAGTTCGTGGCAGAATCCCAGGAAAAAAGTTTCATATTTTTTTGTTCATGGTCGGACTTATGCCTCAAAACATCTCAAGATGTATGCCTTGCCTCACGAAGAAAAAATGCATCAGTACACATCACACCGGCCATACCTAGTATTGTGTACCAAAAATGCTTTCAACTACTTTTACTATACCAAAAACACTGGAATATTGTGAACCACTAGGACTTTAAGAATATTAACCAGCACGATATACAAACTATAAATTTTGCTCTTTCGATCCGTCCTACTTGTATACTTAATTCAGAAGTAAATGTTGCATCAGTTCTCAAAAGAATTGAGAAACTTAAATTGTTTAACAGGGTAATAAATCTGCATAAGGAAACTTCCACCAGCACAGGGCAATAAATAAAAGAACCACAGAGAACGTGGATTATTTTGCAGAACAGATTGCGTGATGCATTTTCTAAGAAGGTTGCTGCTACCCCTAAAACAATTTATTTTCATTTCAAGATACTCTTGTACTTGTCAAATATGTATCCCAAATATTACGTTTTGTGCTTCAAGAAACTTACTAAAATAAATATCTGTTACCACATTTTTATTGTCCACAGGCACAGGTCATTTGTTGATCTTCTAATAGTACAAGTTCGCAACTGATTTACGAAAACCTTAAGATCTATAAAAAGGTTGCTCCATCTGAGTTCATTAAACCTCATTTGGAGACAATCCGTGTATACTGTAAAGCATCATGGGTAAGTCCTTCAATGCCTAAACTATAACATAGTGCTATGAACTCTTTGCCAATATCAAACTGATATAAGGTTGAATACTTTAACTGTCTTTAGCAAAGCCCCTTCTCTATATAAGCTCAAGTGATGTAGAAAAGATGGCTGATTGGATTAAAAACAGTTGGACCGAAGAGGGAAAAACAGTAAATTGCAGATTTGGCGTTCGAGATCTGATTTGGGCACATAATACATTTTCAGAAAGAGAATGACAAGCCGAACTGAACTTACTGCTTTTCCATGACATACGATGGATTTTACCTATCTAAGTTCGTTTAAAACTTTAAAATTGCTTTTAAAGTCATAGTGCCATTTTTTTCGTTTAGTTTATTTCGAATTATTTTCAATTTTAATTCTTTTAAACTAAGTTTCTATGTAAACCCTTATACATAAAGGGTTAATTCTTCGTTTTTGATCATCTTGTAATTAATAAAATTTCGTGATTTATCTTTCATAATTTGGTGGATTTCAAAAATCGCGTTTTTAAGATTGCTGAACTAAACTGTCTATCATTAGACTAATGTAAGGGCAGTGTCTAAAACTGTTGACCGACCTATTAGGAAGAGTATCATTTTGGTTCCCCTTCTTGCTCTCCAAAAGCAAAGAAGGGTTTTTTTTTTTACTTCGATGTACTCAAATTTATTTAGGCACTCCGATCATGAATTTATATGATATCTAACCTGATTAAGCATCCACTTGAAGCCGACTGCAGCAGAACACTGATTCTTGGAAGCACAAAGATTTATTCTCGAACAATGGCGAGGCTTGGTCAATTGGCAAGAACAGTATTCAGATCTCTAAAACATCAATCATCATTCACTTTCCAATTACAATCTAGAAGATCTTCTTTTTATTTTTTGAATACATATTTTACAAAACCCTGGAATTATTCTCCCAATTCAAGAATAAGCTTCACTTCACGCAGTTATTCTTCTCTGACTGAAGAATCTCAGTCCCCTAGCACCATCGATTACCGGTAATTATTCCCTTACTTTTTTTTTCTCTCTCTAATTTTAGTTTGTGATTTCTTATGTGTGCTGAGAAATTTAATGTTTTGAAAATTGATTTCCATATATCGATACATGTACAGTTCTGTGCTTCCGGAAGAGAAGTATCACATGTTGGCTAATTCCACTATCCATGACCTGATAGAGAAGCTAGAGGTAACTATCCAAGGAGAATTTCAAACTCAATTCTTTGTTTTAAGTTTGACATTAATATGCTCTGGAATTTTTAGGGGATTCTATCCATCTTTTTTGTTCATCATCATAGAACTGTAATAGGACTTAGTCTGAATCTCAAGATTGTCTGGTTGGCTCATTAACCTAGAATTGTAACGTGATTTGTATTTACATATGTTTGATCTAAGCTACAATGCATGAAAACAAGTCTCCAGTTATGTATGACACAGTTTTTATTTGTTTTGAATTTTAAGGGGGGTTAATAAGTGTTATTTTTATAACTTTGGCCTTGTTGGTCTCTATATCTGCCCAGACATGCACGCCGTGACCGTGGTATCCAAAACTTGATACAGAAAGTGCAACATAGAAAGAAATAGAAAAGATGAGAGAAGAATTGATGGGGGAATTTTCAGTATTTAATATTCAATATTCAATAATCACTAGTCTCTTAAATTCATATCCAAATTCCCCTTTTACAGTTGTGCATAACTTGAATTGAAGGGAACTTTTAATACATTACAAGCTTACAATATCAAAGTCTATCTTATCTTGTCTAAATTTGAACTGCTCTTATTTTTCCTAAAGTAAATATGTAACCATGTTAAGTCCTCAATTAGTTCTCATTCTCCTTAGAATCCCTGTCACTGGTTTTTGAAATCTACGTCTTTTCACATATTTACTTTACCTTGTTGAGAAGCAGTGACAGGTCTGCTCGTACCTAATTTTCAACAAAATGGACCTGCTAATGGTTTACGTGGCTATGCTTGACTAGGAGGATTTACTTTGTTAATCTCATTTTGAGGAATTTAAGTCCCTGCTTAACCAATATTTCAAAACTCTTTATTCTAAATACTCATTTTTAACCACACATTCATGTAATAAAATATTCAGCTTGTAATCCTAAAATTTTTCTCTACTTTTAACCATGCATTCTCCAAAAATTCACTATTCAAAACTTTGTTTTTGCCAAATATTGGCCATCAAACAGGGGCTAAATTAGTTGCATAAAATAAGATACGTGCATTGCTTATCGTTGATAGTTTGTTTTTCTTTGTTGCATGACAGGAATATGGCGACTCCGTGGAGATTGATGGTTTCGATGTAGACTATGGGGTAAGAATAATGGTTTGATGTTTGAAAGTGATTAGTTTTGCAAACATTTCGTGTCTGTGCTGCTGTAACTATGGGTTTCATTTTGTAGAATGAGGTATTAACTCTGAAGCTCGGGAATTTGGGAACCTATGTAATAAACAAGCAAACACCAAATAGACAGATTTGGATGTCATCTCCCCTGAGGTACTGATCCCTCTAACTCAAATCAGTATATCCTTTGAATTTTGACCTGTATCTTTCAATACGTTTTGTTGATGTTTGGCTTGGGGTTTTAGAACAGAAGTTTTCTTTGAGTCATATTCTTTGCTTTTATGTAGAAGAATTGCTGGATTTTGTATTTGGTTCTTCTTTTACTGTTACTTAAAACAAAGAAAAATCAAGTTTTTAGTTTTATATTTTTTGAAATCTTGCTTTTATAGACCTTATCTATGAAGTGAAACCCCAACTAGCAGTGCCAGGTTCTTGCAAACTGCAATGATTAAGGAGAAAGGAACTGAGAAAAACAAGATGTCTACCCGGGTATGTGAGGTAGAGAAGACATTAAATGCTATGATGAAAATTGTTTATGTCGTGCATTTCAGTGAGCGTTTTTGTTGAACTCGCTCTGATGAGTTGAAAGCATCATCAGTTTGTGAAGTGCTGCCAACAAGTTACTTAATCCTTTTGGGTTTTCCCAGCCATAATGTAACATGTCTTTGATACAAAGTGTCAAGGTGTCAAGTTTAGCCACAATTACCTTGCGATGCTATTGATGTAGGATTACAAAAGGTTTGCACTCAAGCATGGGCAACAAGCACACAACACATGTAATACATACCAAAATTTCCAAACTTTATCAACTCCAATTTAAGGAACTTGTAGGATTACAAAAGGTTCACCTGTGCTCATCAATTGCCAGTATTCTGCATAGCAGCTTTAATCAATTGGCACTGTTCCATTTAGGTAGATAATTCATCATGAAAATATTGAAAAGAGTCTTTCCCAGTTAATTCAACAAATTGATCTGTCAACCTGCTAACTATCTGCCAGAAAGAAAATATTCATTTACTAGGAAAAAGATACTGTTATGGTTTGATGATTGTTTTGTTGTGGTCCAATGAGGAGAACTTCAAGGGATTGCTAGCGAACAAGAGCACATAAGTAATTGCTCCATATTAAAACAAAAAGTGTTTAACAGATTTGTTTTTATCATTTTTAGAACGATTGTAAACCGAATGTAACTAGTGTTTTTACTGGATGTGCATGTACTGTTCACACTCCTTATTTTCTTCTCTGGTATTTGAGGTCTTTTGAAAGAACTCAGTGAAATTTCTGCAAGTAACCTTGTAATTTAAAAGTTATTGCATTAATCAAGTATAGCTTGAATTTAGAAAGAGTGGTGGTCCTTGTTGCATTAGTGAAGGAGAGTTGTATTAGTTAAGGAAATTGATCGGAAGTGGAAGGATTTCCGTATGGATGATTTTTTTCTAAAATTGGAACTATGCCTTTGAATTTTTACTCTACTTGCTCACTTGAAAGTTGGATGAGTAGAGAACTCAACCCCCAAATTTGCCAAACTATTCGAGTTCGGTGTGTTCACATGCTATTTTTACTTTTTTTTTTTAAAGTAGAGGTGAAATATATATTGTCCATATATCATACAATTTTTCATACTAATTTGAATCAAAGGGGAAGCTAGTAATTTCTCGGTTTTCATACTGCTGGTCACGCATGCTTCTACTCCCACCACTATCACATCCTATTAAGGATTTCTTTATTGATGAGCTTTCTGCACGTTTTCTTGGAAAATTGTGTTATGTGATTAGATGTCCATGCCTTCATATTCCTGTGGCTAGTCCTGAAGATTAAACTTTCTTTTGCAGTGGCCCATCTAAGTTCGATTGGGATCAAAATGCCCAAGCTTGGATTTATCGGCGAACTAAAGGGAACTTGATCAAAGTTTTGGTGGTTCGATTGGGATCAAAATGCCCAAGCTTGGATTTATAGGCGAACTAAAGGGAACTTGATCAAAGTTTTGGAAACTGAGATGGAACAACTTTGTGGGAAGTCCATTAATCTTTCTTCAGCCTAAAGTCGTAAAATAAATGTAACTTCTCCAGTAGTTATAGGTATGATAGTGATTATCTTTTACTACTATGTGATTCTCTCTTTTTATTTCTATTTACCCCTTCTAGTTACGGTTTCACATGCTCATCTGTTTGTAATCATAAATTATGCTACATTATATGACGAACAAACTAATATTCAATAAATAATACCAAAAGAAGAAATTTAACTTATCAAGATTATTTTCCAACAATATATTAATTGATCACTCTATTGATCAATTGATGGTCTAATAACATTTTCCCTCATGCTTCGAATTGTGAAGCGTTAATCGATTACGAGTATCCCAACACATTAAGGCCAAGTGTAACCATCACTTAAATTTAGACGAACAATTTTACTCGTTAACAAGTATCTTTACTTGATAGGATCAAGTTTCTGAGTGTATGGAAGGTCAAGTATTCTTATACATTATATGTGACAACAATTTCTATGTGATAACAATTTCTCTTGCGCTACTAAAGCAACATAGATACAGATTCTGTCATAACAGAAAAATAATAGCAGTAAGGGAAGGGAATAAGCAAATCCATCATCGCCCTTCTACCTGAGACATTGTTAACTCGTTGGAAATTGAACCCGGTTTAGTAGAGGATGAAGACGTGCTAAAAACGTGTTTTCTCATTACGAAAGCCGGTTGATTAGGAACAGGAAGAACTGTTGCTTCGCCACCAAGCATGAAAACTACATTCGACATGGTAGGCCGATCACCGGGATCTTCTTGCACACACAACAGCCCAACATTTATGCACTTCATAACTTCAGATTTCTCACAAGATTCAAGCAGCATTGGATCCATTAAATCCAATGCCTTGTTTTCACTCCACAATCCCCAAGCCTGCACAAATTAGTTTCATGCTATCAGACGGAGATTTCTAACATTTATATATACCGAAACAGTTGATATAAATTGTGGGATTTAGCCACTTACGTAACCTAAGAGATTCAGGGCTTCTGCGGATCCATAAAATCCCGTGTTTCTTTTTCCACTAATTATCTCAAGTACAACAACTCCAAAACTAAATACATCTGATTTTGTCGAGAATAATCCTTCTAATACATACTCCGGAGACATATAACCACTGGATCAAAATAATTAGGTGTGAGTATGAAACATATGTATGTATCTACACACGCACACAAATTTTCATTTATTAGGTGTCTATATCTATAAGCATAGCGTAATTCCTCTTGGTACAGAGGAGCCAATGTGTGTACACAGCTTTGGATGGGAAAGAAGAAATGAAGACTAGTGACCTCGATAGCCGTATTTAACCAACTAGACATGCAAACTTGAAATTGGCTACAAGTAGAACCATACCAAAATTGTGTTTAACAAAGTGCTTTTTCCATGAGAAAAGAGGGCCGCCTAAAATGATATCGCCATGAAAGGACCAATAAGATGACAGAGAGGAAATGAATGGAGATGCATCTGATGCCATTGAGAGATTTGAAGACTGTGAAGTTTCCTTGCAGTCTTAGAAGAAGAAAAGAGCCAATAACGAGTACTAGACTTAGGCCATATAAACCATGTATCTAATCCAAAAAGGGAATAGTTCACGCCGTACCAAGAAATAGATGGTGGGAAGGTACTAATCTGGAATAAACTAATCCTGTCCATTAGTCGTATGGAGATATAAACATTAAAATGCATAATTGGACAACCAGAACTCTCGAGGAGATGAGACATATACCGAAGCTAAAGAGAAATTAAGTTCTTTAGAAATGTTTTATGACCATGGCTACATTTTATAAGTCACTATATAAGGAATGGTTTGGACATTCTTAAAGGACAGACATTATCTGGTATTACTGCTAATGCTGCTCCCTCAGAAAAATACAGTTATTTTGAGGCACATAAGACTAAGACACATTAGTGAAATAAGCCTTCAATTTCTATGTTAACAGAATTTGTTGACCAGTGATCAAGCAAATTGGAGTCCATGGAACAGTATACCGGAAAACAATAGATCCTCAGCTTCAAGACTGGTTTCCACATATTAGAGGCAGTAATGTATTATCCACATGAGATAACTCTTATTGAGGTAACCTTTATTTTCTCTTTATTGTTGATGATTTCTCAAGAGAAGTTTAAATTTGTTTAATGTAAATGAATGAAGCCTAAGTTGAATTTAAAATCTGGAAAATCGTAACTGAATACCAAACTGGAAAAAGACTAAAAGCACTCAGGAATGGTAAATGGTTTCTGGGGTAATTTAGTGACTATCTGCATATTTTATCAACGGGTCACATCATTTTGATGCAATTAATCGAAATGCAGCTTCAATGTCATTATTGAGAAAAAATAATATTTTGATTAGTGATTTTTTAAAGAATGTGTGGTTAATAAATAGGAAAAGTTTTGGATTTATATATAAAATATTTTATTGTGTGAATGTGTGATTGAAAATGAGTATAAGAATTAAAGAGTTTTGTTTTAAAGGGAGACAGACAGGGGCTAAGGAAGTATCATTTTAAATTGACACTTACTAGGTACCCACGACTTTGTTGGTGCTTGCTTCTGTTCCTTTACCCTCAACTATTCTTGCCAAGCCAAAGTCTGAAATCTTTGGGTTCATCTCTTCGTCTAACAGTATATTACTCGTTTTCAAATCTCTGTGAATGATCCTCAACCTTGAATCTTGGTGAAGATAAAGAACCCCTCTTGCTATTCCCAAGATGATGTCAAACCGCTTCTTCCAGTTTAGCAGCATGCTGAGTTTTTTATCTAGTAATATTTGTTTAAAAAGAAGAAAAAGAAATCACAATGGGTTGAAATCACAATTGCATTAACTATCATTTTCAAGAACTAACCAAATATAAAGGCATCTAAACTTTTATTGGGCATATATTCATAGAGTAAGATCTTCTCATTCTCCTTTATGCAGTAGCCCAAAAGGCGTACAAGGTTTCGATGTTGAAGCTTGGCGATCAATACAACTTCATTGCGGAATTCATTTATTCCTTGGACAGAATAGCTTGACAACCTTTTCACTGCAATCTCTTGTCCTCCAGGAAACATTCCCTGCAGGAGATGTGAAGTAGACATTTTTACACAAGGAAGCACGGCCTTGATTATAGAAAAAAATTATGGAGAACCCATTGCAAAACCTTGTAAACAGGTCCAAATCCCCCTCTTCCAAGTTTATGTACGTCTGAGAAGTTCTCTGTAGCAGCTAATATACTTTCCCAACTGCAGAAAGGAACACCGACACCACTCTTGTTTTCTTCATCCATCAAATCTGATACTTGTCTGTCACTACTCTCATACGACCAAACCACTGGATTCTCTCCACTGTTTTCGCCACTTCCTAGAGTCATACACATATTAATGCTGATTAGTTGGAGGTATCCTCCGAACTAGAAGTATTTAGTAGAAAATTGTTCTCTATATGTACTTCCACTTCCCACTTACCTTTTCTTCTAGTCATCCTTTTTCTTCTATATAAGTAATAGCTAAAGAAACAAACTAGTAGAACTGCAGCAAATACCGCTATGATAATAATAACATCTTTTAGCCACCTGGCAAGTGATCTCCCAGTCCCTGTAAAGAAGAATATTTCAGATTCAAAAATGGAACGTTTTTTCACCCTTTCAAATGGAAGTGACACATTAAGCCAAACATGATTGTGAAAAACGAATATCGTTAGAAAATAGAGAGTATGTACCTTGGACACAATTTAAACTTGTGCCATCCCATTGATATTCTTGGTCGCAATAGCATCTGCTCATACCATTTGCTCTGGCGTGGCAACTTGAATTGGGCCAATCTCGACAGTCACCAGATACATTGCAAGAGGGCTCCAAAGGAGGTTTCCAACTAATCTCTATTCTTCTTTTATAGCACCCATTTGTCACGGTGAATGGAGATGATTGGTTAAGCTTCACGATTTGTCTTGACAAATTTCTGGCATCACAGCTATTAGCAGTTTCACTGTTCACTTCAATAACAAATGTACGATTCGCCTTATTAATGTTAATGACTGAGTAGTTTCCGCTCAAAGTCTGGAAGTGAAATATGCCTGTGGACTTATCACAGTCGAAACTAGAATACAAAGGGTCACCACAGTTTGGCCCGGTGCTCAGTGGATAGGGTATCATAATGTCACCACAAAGTTTACAGTCTCGTGAATCTCGTGCTGTCAAGCCTGTAAGACCATATTATGAATGTCAACCTATTTTACCATATCTGAAAGTACACTATTGCCTATTGAAAAAGAAGCAAACTGATGGAACTTGTGCAAATTACCACGATGTAATTACCAACTATGAGAACGAACTGTACACTAGTTGAAGTTTATGGAAATACTGCATATGAATGCACTAAAAGGAAAAAGAGTGAGATCGGTCACAAGAAATGACGCAGGTTCTACATTGATTCGACAGCTTGCCTATTCAAGTTCCGCGGCCATGGGTTAGTGCTATTTCTCAATTGAAGAAATAGAGTACTTTGGGGAGGTAGAAGAAAAATAGTGCACTGGCTGTGTATGCATTCATGTTAATTGACTGGTGATGACCCTTTAATAGAGAAAATAGTGTTATAGAAACACACTTCCTTAACGAAATATTGAACCCCTCACAGTTAACAACAATTAAGTTAAGCACCAGCACCTACAACGACGTTGAATACTACATGATTGTAAAAAACGAATATCTTTAGAAAATAGAGAGTATGTACCTTGGACACAATTTAAACTTGTGCCATCCCATTGATATTCTTGGTCGCAATAGCATCTGCTCATGCCATTTTCTCTGGCGTGGCAACTTGAATTGGGCCAATCTCGACAGTCACCAGATACATTGCAAGAGGGCTCCAAAGAAGGTTTCCACCTTATCTCTATTCCTCTTTCATAGCACCTATTTGTCACGGTGAATGGAGATGATTGGTTCACGATTTCTCTTGGGAAAATTCTGGCATAACAGCTATTAGCAATTTCATTCCTCACTCCAAATGTACGATTCTCCTTATTAATGCTGATGACTCGGTACTGTCTGCTCAAAGTCTTGAAGTAAAATATGTCTGTGGAGTCATTACAGTCGAAACTAGAGTACAAAGGATCACCACAGTTTGGCCCAGTGCTTAGTGGATAGGGTATCATAATGTCACCACAAGGTTTACAGTCTCGTGTTTTCAAGTCTGTAAGACCATATCATGAATGTCAACCATAAAACGTCTCAAAAGTACCATTCGAATATTGTATGTGGATTAATGGGATCATAGTTAATTAACTCTACTTATAATTGTAACATGTCATGGACATAACTATATTTGTCAACACAGGTTAGAACACTGATTCGACAGCTTGCCTATTCAAGTTCCGGGGTCGTGGGTTAGTGCTATTTCTAAATTGAAGAAATAGAGTACTTTGGGGAGGTAGAATAAAAATATTGCACTGGCTGTGTATGCATACATGTTAGTTGACTGGTGATGACCCTTTTATAAACCATGAGAAAATAGTGTTATAGAAACACACTTCCTTTACGGAAAATTGACCCCCTCACAGTTGACTAACAACACAAGTTAAGCACCGTCACCTACAACTACGTTGAATACTTCTTTGGAGACATTAATCAAGTACCGTGACCTCAAGATTTTGGTATATAACTGGAGGAGTTGACGTGGCTCACTCTCAACAAGTGGCATCCAAATTTCAGAACATATGAACAAACGTGAAGGGGAAAGAAGAATTACCCATATCTACGTGTACATTGAGCTGGACGCGACTCTCACCATCCACCCGACAAAGATTTTCAAGATCTCCTGTCCCAATAAAACACGAAGGAACAACATCACTTTCTCCTGTCCGCTTGGCATTATCTTTTTCTGACATGTAATAGGCCTCGCATTTGCAGTTGTTCAGGCACTCTTTTTCGCATTCTTCCTTGTTTCGAGCCTTATCAAATTTCTGGAATGAAGCCCGGAAATTGGTCAACGACAAATTCAAGAACGTGGATTGATTGGCATTGTTGTCACATCTAATTTGCTTCCTCTTTTCGCAATCTACAGAGTAATCCCCATTATTCGAATCCACTTTGGAAACAGGTTGATATCCAGGCAAACAATTGCATTCTGGATCACGATTGCTATCACAGATGCTGAATTTCCCGCAATACTTGTAGAAACTGCAGGTATCTTTGGGCTCAGACCATAGAAAGGTCCATTCCCCGTCGGACCATCTATAATATTGTATTTCCCCAGTCCCATTCATGAAAAGCCCAGAGACATTATCATTGGAAGACCTTGTAAAATTAAAAGATACTTTTCCTTTGTTTTGACTACCAGAAGATGGATATTTACTTTCATCAAGTCCTTCTTTAAATCCAGACAACATGTCGGCTACGGCATAAGGCATTTTATTCTTAATGATTGATAAACCTGACTCACCACTTCTCCAGTAAGGAACGGATCTCATTTGTATCTCGTACAATTCTTGATATTTCTGAAATGTGTAATCTCCAGATGCCGGGTCAGTTGAGGTCGACCAGGAAGTCAAAACCATTTTGTCATCCATTTTCATACCGGGAAGAAATGTGTCTGTTGGATCGTTGAAACTTTGCCATAACAGAGATGGACCATCAAAAAATATCAAGTTTCCATTATCCATTAGCTTCACCGTGCTGTTAACACCAGCATTCTTAAGATCTGTTATGGCGTAAGCATTTCTATTCGAAAGTACCTTGAGGTTGCCATCTTCTGCAATGGCAAACGATCCCGAAGAATCAGTCACTGGTTTATCTCTATTTGCAACCCACACTACTCTTCTTGGCATATTGTGATACCATATTCCTACGTATCTGTTGTTTCCTCCAGGACCAGGAGTAAAGAAACCAAGTTCAAATATTCCTCCAGCTGATACGAGACTTTCATTCGCGTCGTCCCTTAATGGATGGCTTGTATTGATGGTGTCTCTTGCATCACTTTGATGACTCAAGCAAACCACTAATATTGTGCAGTAAAAGAATACAGAGATGGTATTGGTAGGAGACTGCATATGAAAAAAATTTATGAGTGTTTCAGGGAATCTCTATGTATGATTTGCGAAAGACTGAAATCACTTGAATGTTTTAATGTGCAAGAACAATAAAATCAATTTAGAATAAGGGTTTGCATACCTTGACAGCACTACACACAAGTCTTCCATGGCACTTTTTAAGTCAATGAGTAAATTACTGAAAATGAAATATATGTCTGTACCTTCTGTTTCCATACACGAGAGGGATCATTCACGATTTTGCATTATTAAATGGAGAACCGGTTTAAGCACAGCTAGAGGTTCTTTAAAATACATTATTTCAAAATTCATGTTCAATCACACATTTTTTAATAAAATAATATTTTACATTAAATCAATAATTTTTTCTTACTTTTTAACTATATATTTCTCATCATATTATTATTTAAAATATATTATTTTTTCAATAATATCCATCAAATACACCCTAAATACACGTAAAAGTTAGACTTATAAAAACTAGGGATAATTGCAGCAAAAATTACAAACTTTTGAAACATTAGCAAACTTTTCCTAGACATTTTATTTGTTGCAGCTGTCACCCCTAACCTTTCCAATCATTGCATGTGAGGCCTTTTTGAATGGTTTCTATCTATTTTTTCGCTAATTGACCACCAAAATTAAGTTTAACCATATTTTAATCAATTAAAAGGGGGCAAAATGGTAAATATTTATTAAAATAATTAAATAAAATGATAATTGAATAAAAAATTAAAGAAAGGAAAAGATGGCTTTCTTGGAGAGCTTGTGGTGGGTAGGGATGGCAAAAAAGCTCGGGTTGCTCGGGCTCGGCCAGGAAAAAGCCCGAGCCTGGCCACCAAGCCCAAGCTCGGGCCGAGCCCCATTTTGGGGGATCGGCCCGTAATTAATTAAAAAAATAAAATTAATTTAAAAAAATTTGAACTAAATTTGTCAAATGTAAATTAGTTTTGAATTGGAATTCTTAGATGTCACGCATTCGAACTAAATTTGTCCATTTCAAATAAAACGTTTACATAAAATGATATGCATGTTCACATTATTAATTTGTGTAAAACATACAAATAATCTCACAAACTAAGCATTAGCTGCTTGCAAACACCTTAATTACATACCTAACAATTATATTTATTGCATTAATATCCGCTAACATTACACACTAAGTCTTATATTTCATATTCAAATTAAATTTGTTCAGTTCAATCGAACAATTTTATACATTGATATGCATGTTCACATCATTAATTGCGTAACACATTCAAACAATCACAAAAACTAAGCATTAGTTGTTTATCAATACCTTCATTATGTACCTAACAA